AAAAAAAAAAAAAAAAAAAAAAAAGGTTGGACTACAATTCCTGGGCTTGAATGATTCTCCTGCCTCAGCTTCCCTGGTAGCTGGGACTACAGTTGTGTGTCACTGTGCATGGCTACAAGAGATTAGTTTCTTTTTTGAGACAGAGTCTCACTCTGTTGCCCTCGGTTGCTGTGGCATCATAGCTCACAGCAACCTCCAGCTCTTGGGCTTAGGAGATTCTCTTGCCTTAGCCTCCCACGTAGCTGGGACTATAGGTGGTCACCACAACATCCGGTTATTTTTTTTGTTTCAGTTTGGCTGGGGCCAGGTTCGAACCCACCACCCTCAGTATATGGGGCCGGTGCCCTACCCACTGAGCCATAGGCACTGACCACAGATTGGTATCTTTATTCCACTTTACAGATAAAGAGAAGAAATAAGCATAGAATGGATAAAGAACTTGCCTAGGTAGTTTGCACAGATCTGTCTGACTCCAGTCTGAATCCCTTTTTTTTGAGAGACAGGGTTTTACTCTGTCACCCAAGCTGGAGGAGTGTAGTGGACTGATCATAGCTTACTGAGTGCAGCCTCAAATTCCTGGCCTTAAGTGATCCTCCTGTCTTGACCTCTGAAAGTGCTGGGATTACAGACAATAAGTCGCCACCTCTAGTCCAGAATCTGGATTCTTTTTTTTTTTTTTTTAAGACAGAGTTTCAAGCTGTCACCCTGGGTAGAGTGCTGTGGTGTCACAGTGCACAGCAACCTCAAGCTCTTGGGCTTAAGTGATTCTCTTGCCTTAGCCTCCCAAGTAGCTGGGACTACAGGTGGTCACCACAATGCCTGGCTATTTTTTGTTTTTAAATTGCAGTTGTCATTGTTTAGCTGGCTGAGGCTGGGTTCTAACCCGACAGTGTGTATGTGGCTGGTGTCCTACCTACTGAGCTAAGGGGGCCGCCCAGAGTCTGAATTCTTAAACATTTTAGAATGCTTCTGGCTCGACGCCTATAGCTCAACCGGCTAAGGCGCCAGCCACGTACACCTAAGGTGGCGGGTTCGAATCCCCAG